TAGGATGGAGCATTGCAAGCTAACGGTAGCCACTTCAATGCGAGTTTGATCCCCGGCCCCAGAGGAGGTGATCCATATGGCACGGCAGACCTCTCCTGTCTTGCCCAGTGCTTCCCTCAGCCATGTATTTTGTCGATCTGCCTGTCCTGCTCCCCACTCTCTCTCTCTGGTGACACCCCTGCACCTCTTGCCTATACCCCAGTTCTGTATGCATAAATAAATAAATCTTAAAAAATATACTGTTCCTTTACACAGAAATTGAAATAATGATGATCCATTTAAAAACTAGTACTAGGTAACTAGTAACTGAAGTGAAAATTCAACAGAAGAGATTTTGTTTTGTTTATAATTTATTTTTTATATGTTTTACATCGTTGATATTCCCCATAAGAATTCACACCACCAGCTCACCAGTGAGCCATCAGTATATTCCCTTGTGCTCTTCTCTCTCTTGTTTTGGTCCGTTTTCTTGCTCCTCACTCGCAGAATGTCCCTTACTTATGGTTGCCTGCTTGCCTCTAGTTTTGTTTTATTATTGTTACTATTGTTGTTTTTCCTCTAATCCCTTAATTGGATCCCCTATATTCCTCCTATCAGTGAAACCATTTGATACTTTTCTTTTTCCTTCTGGCTTATTTCTCTGAGCGTGATTCCCTCTAGTTCTGTCCATGTTGTTGTTAATGGCATGAATTTATCTTTTTTGATTGCTGAGTAGTATTTCTGTTTATGTGTGTGTGTGTATATACACACCACATCTTCTTGATCCAGTCATCTTATTTTTTGGACACTTGGTTTATTTCCATATCTATTGTAAATAGTGCTGCAGTAAACATAGGAGTTCAGATCTTTTTGAATTCGTGTTTTTGTGTCTTTGGGTAGATCTCTAGAAGTGGAATTGCTGGGTCATATGGTAGCTCCATTTTTAGTAGCCTGAGGAATCTCCATACAGCTTTCCATAGTGGTTGCAACAGTTTGTAATCCCACCAGCAATGTAGGAGAGTTCCTTTTCCTCCACATACTCACCAACATTTGTTGTTGCTTGCTTTTTTAATTTGTGCCAGACTCATGGTGGAAGGTGTTATCTCATTGTGGTTTTGATTTGCATTTCCCTGATTATAAGTGATGTTGAGCATATTTTTTTATGCTTGTTGTCCATTTGCATTTCCTCTGTGTGAAAGTAAAGTATCTTCTTAGCTCTTCTGCCCATTTTTGACTACTTTGTTTTGAGTCATGTGAGCTCTTTGTAAATTTTTGTGATCTGTCCCTTATCGGTTGTATTGTGTGCAAAAAATTTTCTCCCAATCAGTAGAGTATTTATTTGTTTTGCTTACTGTCTCTTTGCTGTACAGGAACTTTTTTGTTTGATATAATCCCAGTGTGTATCTTTTCACTTTCTTTGCATTTGGGAATGTGTCTTTAAGATGTTATTGAGGTGTATGTCATGTAGTGTTTTACCTCTATTTTCCATATATTTTACAGTTTCAGGTCTTTTACATTCAGGGCTTTTATCCATTATGAGTTGGTTTTTGTGCATAGTGTGAGATAGTATTCTAGCTTCATTCTTTTGCATGTAGCAGTCCATTTATTGAACAAACTGCCCTTGTTCTATTGCATATTCTTTGCTCCTTTGTGAAAGATTAGTTGTCTAGAAACATGTTGGTTTATGTCTGGGTTTTCTATACAGTTTCTTTGGCCTATGTGTCTGTTTGTGTTCTTTACGTATTGCTTTAATTATTATGGCTTTGTGGTATAGTTTGAAATTGGGAATGTGATACCTCCACTCTGCCTCCTTTTTGTCAGGAGAGCTTTGGCTATTTGAAGTTGTTTTTTTTGTTACTCCATATGAATTTTATCAATACTTGTTCTATTTGTAAATTGTTCTCAGTAAGATAGCCATTTTGATGTTAATTCTTCCAATCCTTGAGCAAGGTATGTCTTTCCATTTCTGTTTCTTTTAACAGTCTTACAGCTTTCTTTGTGTAAGTGCTCACTTCTTTTATTAGTCCCAAGATTTAGATTTTTTTTTAAATTTCAATTATAAAAGGAATGGTTTTTTTAAATCTCTTAAGATTGATTGTTTGCATATAGGAAGGCTGATAGTTTTTGTGTGTTTAATTTGTATCCTGCTACTTAACTAAACTATAAACTAGTATATAATGTTAATTAGTTTTTCTGTGGAGTTTTTAGGATTTTCTCGGTTTGCTATTATTTTGTCTACAAATAGTGATAGTTTTTTATTTCTTCTTTTTCTATTTGTATTCTTTGTATGCCTTTCTCTTGTCTTATTGCCTGCCTAGGACTTCGAATACTATATTGAAAAGTAGTGGTGAGAGTCAACATCCTTGCCTTATTCGAGATCTTAATGAAAAGCTTTCAGCTTTTCACCATTGAGGATAAAATTGGCTGTATGTTTGTCATATATAGAAGATATGTTCCTTCTATCCCAAGGATTTCATTATAAATGGATTTTGAACTTTGTCAGACGCTTTCTCAGCATCTATTGATATGATCATATGGTTTCTCTTTTTGTTGTTGTGTTGGATTACATTAATTGATTTCAAATGTTGAACCTTTCTGTGTCCCTAAAATAAATCCCACTTGGTCATGGTTTATTATCTTTTTGATGCATTGTTGGATTCTGTTGGCTAAGATTTTGTTAAGGATTTTTGCATCAGTGTTCATTAAACAGATTGGCCTGTAGCTTGTGTGTGTGTGTGTGTGTGTGTGTGTGTGTGTGTGTGTGTGTGTGTGTGTG